ACCCTGAGGAAATACATCCAGTATGTACAGATTAGATAAAAATGTAAGGCCTTTGTAGGCCTATAAAGTAATCTTGTTCTGTAATCAAATGCTACATTAGTTTCTTCTATATAATAGACAGAATAAATAGAGATAGCCTTAAGGTGCATGAGAGTAGATGTTACATTACATTTTAAATAATCAGCGAGCAAAATTAAAAGTAATTCAGTTTTATTGCATATAGCGAGTCTGATTCAATGTAATTTTGAGATTATTATTGATTTCAAACTTTATATTAAAGTAAAAACAATACAAAATCTCTCTTCCCCAAATATCATTAAACTACACTTTATGAAAATTGTGGTACTATAAATAACTTCAAATCCAATGTCTCAAAAATAAATCCTGATCAGGCCACATATAATACAATACTAAATGAAAAGTATATATACACACGAAACTTTAATAAATTTAAATCTTATTCAATATATAAAATCATTATATCATTTGAATTTCTAACTTATTGCAGAATGACTTAATTTTAAACTATACCATTGCTTGCTCTATCTTGTTATCTATTGCCACAGTACTGGAACCTGATGGCGCACTAAAAAAAGATACAAATAACATAGAATGAATATGAGGAACAGGAAGAAGTAAGCAAATCTAGATAACATTAATTACGTATATATATGCTTAGAAATAAATTTGATATACAAGGGTATCAGAAACTGACGATTTTTTTGTTAATTCCAAAGCAGCAATTTTTATTACAGTGCAAACCAAACTATAGTGCTAGCTTATATTTCAGAAACGTGTAAAAACCTAGAAATTAAGAATAAGTCTTATATAAGTAGTCATACCAATTATGGACTTTTATTATAAAGATACAAGAATCAGTTATTATACAGTGCACACACGTACTATAAACAAATGATACTAAAGCACAACTCATCTTTTGCAACAATAAACATACATAATTTTTTTTATAAATAGTTATTTTCTTCAGCAATATAATTTTTAACAAGTGCAAACTATTTTAAAGCCAAATAAACGATATATTTAATATTCTTCTAATGTTTTAATTATTATTATTATTCACTACAGCCAGAAAACTTGTGTGAAAAGAAAGGACGTTAAATTGCTGAATTAAAATTTCATTCCTTGCTTTTCACCTTAAAACTCTCTGCAACTTTGTTGCGTGCGTGTGTATATATATTTATGTTATTCATTGTTTAATAGCATGAATGAAAAATTTATTTGTAAAAATGTTCTACTAGAAATACTCAATAAATAACCGCATAATTGTTCATTAAAGAGTGTGATAACTGCATCCTCTGGCGATAAAATGAATGAAAATTTTTTATAACTTTTACCTAAATTATCATCTTACCATTTATGTACATACACCATCCGACATATTTTAGCGTCTCGCGAACATTACTTTAAAATTACATTTCCTGGTGGTGTCATCAACAGTGAATATTACACTTTACTGAAGTAAATGAAAGAGGTCACATCATGTGAACACGTGTTGGAGCTATTTATAAATGCACCGACTTTCGTCACAAGTTTTGACAAGTGTTGTCGTTGACGGAATTTTATTTGCAGTTTCAAAAAACATCAAAACGTGGTTATTAGTTTCTCTTTCAAGTTTACTTTTTGTAATGTACAAAAACTAAAGGTATATATATTTCTTCTTAGGAATTACCTTGAAAAACGTCTATATAACAGACATTTCTCAACATGATATACGTCTACTGAATTACACATTTTTACGGAACTGTCGTTTAAACCCTATAAACTCGCTATCAAGTGCCTTTCTTTTGTTTTCGATGGATTGATATCAGGCTTTTCAGTGAAACTGAAAGGTAAACTGGAGTCCTTCCCTTTCTGTAAGTTTTTTAAAAATTATTTATGGTTCGTGTTTGTTCATTTTCTATAACTGTTTAAAAACGAAATTACTTTCACGACAGAATCCTTACATCCAAAACAAACAAAACACGCATAATCTGGCCACGTGATTGGAAGCCTTACCCCGATGAAAATCCTTCTGGTGAGAATCGAAGACATACAAAAGGGGTTTCTTCTAGGAAAGTTGGGAACAGTAACGACCGACAGAATCCTTACATCCAAAACAAACAAAACACGCATAATCTGGCCACGCGATTAGAAGCCTTACCCCGATGAAAATCCTTCTGGTGAGAATCGAAGACATACAAAAGGGGTTTCTTCTAGGAAAGATGGGAACAGTAACGACCGAAAATCTATTATTCCATTAAAGAAAAAACAACTTCGATCATAAAGATAAGACAGTAAAACAGTACAACAGTTTCTATTCAATGAAAATAAAGATAACTGTTTGTACTTGGAATTTACAGCAAAGCTACTCGGGGGCTATCTGCGCAAGCCGTCTTTGATCTAGGAATGATTGACTAAAAGAAAAGCAGTTGGTCGAAACCACCCACCGCCAGCCCTTGGGCTACTCGTTTATCAACGAAAAGTGGGATTGACCGTCACATTAGAACGCTCCCACGGCTGAAAAGGCAAGCATGTTCGGAGTCGAGATTCCAACTCGCGACCTGCAGTTTACGAGTCGAGCTCACTAGGCCTTGCCAGGGCTATACCATACTGATTACACTCACTTTCTAATAAATATTAACTGTTAAAAGTTTTATTATGTTTATAACTACGACAAAAAAAGATATTCAGCACACTAGTCTTGTACTTTTCCCATTTGGTATAGATTGCTTTAGCTGAAATGGGTGCTTAAACGTTATTTGCAAGTGTCCTATGCATTGTACGTGTAACGATCCACTCAGTTGAGAAACATTGGTTCTCGTAATGACTTTAGCGCCCTCTTTCAGCGACTGTTGCGTGGCTTGAATTTTTTTAACCACTTAAGTTTTTAAAATCTCAAACACTGTGGTTGGTACGTCAAGCTCAAACAGAAGTCTTTGACTTTGACATTCTTAGTAGCGCTCTGATCTTTTTACAATATACTTTCACTTGTTTTATAAAGTATGTTTCTAAGTGTACCATTTGCTCTGAATTACATCTGGTGTTTCAAACACGGTTAGATTTTATTCTAAAAACAATAACAAAAAATTGAAGGATTACCAACTCATACATTTCATTGCGAAACAAAATTTATAAAATAAAAACAATTTAACTTTTCATTTCAAAGTTTATTTATAAATTTTCTTAGGATTATTTACACATTTGTAATCATTATCATACCACTTCCTGAAATAAAAAAACAAGTTTAGGGAGAAAAGAACAATGGTAATTTACAGTCTGCTGAAATAAAATATTTAAAAGATGAAAACTAATTTTAAGACAATGATGTAATATATATATAATTATTTATCTTAATAATTCAGAATGAAGATTTTTACTGGTGATCAAGAAGAAAGAAATGAATTACAAGAAGGGGACATGAGATTTACAGAAGAATTATAAACAGAAAAAAATTATTCAACTGACAGTCCTCGTGCAAAGATTTAAGAAAAATAATAAATTGACGACTCTAACGTTTCAAACATGCACAATAATTTATTGTATAAAGCTAAAAACAAGAATACAAGCTAAACAACCGTTGTCGATAAATTAAAAACGAGTGATTTGGCCTTGGTGGAACATGTGGCGAACTTTTCACATATCATTGATTGGGACAATGTAAAAATACTTAAAGAAATAAAAAAAACGAATTAAACATCCGATAATCATTAGGAATTGTTTAAAAAAACAAAGTTATTTTGAATAGATTTAGGATCTAGTGCCACGGAAGTAAATCCTGAAGATAGAGGAGCATGTTCCACCGAAACTTAAGGTTTTTAGCCTTTATTCTTGCTTCTAGCTTTATGCAATAAATTATTGTGCATGTCTGAAACGTTGGAGTCAACTTATTATTTTTATTACCAAAAACAAATTTGATGGAAGATAAAATAGAGGAAGCTATAGAAAATGCAATGAAAGATTGTAATAATACTATTGAAGAAGTGAAATTAAGTACAAAATAACATCAATGTAGGGACTCCAAAAAGACATTACTGGTGTACAATAGGATAACGACGCCAAGATAAAACTTGCAGAAACTTATTTAGCAAATGTGGGGATCAAATATCAAACCTGCCACACCTCTGCCAGCATCTGTTCAAGAATTTGAGCCGAAGACGTCATGAATTATGCCATATTGAATAGAAAAAACCTCGTGCACACCTGTTATTACTACTACTGTTTTGCTACCTGTAACTGCCAGACATTCCTGAACATATAAACCACTACTCCACCGAGTTACGGAATTTAGCAGGAGTTAACATCTCTGTCCAATTAAGAAACCAACATATGATAACAAGGTGTCATGACAGACATATAACGCACAATTAGAAATCATTTTCAAGGTGAATCAATAAAGTAGTGAACAACAAGCTATTCATTTGTTGCCATATTTAACAGGACTAGCTTTAACAACATTAAGTAACCTTCCCACAGAAAGCCTTAAGAACTACCAAGCATTATTGGCCACCTTATCAAACAGATTTTGAATGTCAAATAAGAAGGAAGCTTCTAAGGTTTTAGAAGTAGAGTAAGGTGAACGAGACATTACCAGTTAGCTGAACTCGAAGATGTGGAAGACTTTCTCAATCACCTTAGGAGTTCATTATTTAAAAGAGACAAATTCATTTATGGGAAGTCTTGCAACATATTGATAGATACTTGTTCTACAACTATTTGTTCGACCTGATCTGGTAATGAAAGCTAGGAAGTTGCATCCAGAGACAAAGCAAGAAGATGGACTGATGCAAAGAGCAAGTGGTCATAAATTTCCTGAAAGAGAAAAGTTGGAAGCTATCCTCACTGTGGAAATCTTCTTTAATCAACATGATTTTAAGTAACTGACATCGAGGAAAAGTTCATATTGGGAAATAAACTTCATGTGGAAACATTGTTGCAAGTTTAGACTTGCTTCAAACAGCTTAACTGTCTATGACAGTTACACCACCCAAAAAGTGAAATACTCATATATCAGGATTTATTAGAAACAACCTTCGATCTAGTAACCGAGGTGTGATAAATCTAAACATCATAACTTGTCTTAAAGGAATCACTGGTTGGGGGAAAAAACCAAAACCCTAGTGGATCTGAAGAATAAGGATGGAACTATTAAGGTGATGTACATAAAACCACAAAATATAAATAAATTCTGTTTTGGATATCCAAAGACACAAAGTTGTACAACTGATATGTCTGCATTGAAGAATGTCATAAATAACAAAACTTCCCATAAGAAGAGTTTTACAACCGCAGCTGTGAAAGTCTTGCAACTGATCAACATCACAGATTACAGGACTTTCATTAAATATCAAGAAGCCCTCTCCAATGAACTTCATTACCTAGGATGCACAAAGATCTAATAAGACTAATACTTATGATGCAGTCCCAATACATCAATTAGCCAGACAACTCCCAGTTACAAAACAGACTGAGGTGTCGAAAAGATAAAAATATACATGTATACATACATATACAAACACACACACACACACACATGCATATATATATATATATATATATA